ACATTAGCTCGTTAATACGACTTATATGATGATAAGGACCGATCGGAGTGTAATTATTGTGGCAAATTAAGCATACTAACTTCTAGGAAAACCTGTAGTGGACATAGTGCTGGCCTCATTAGTAGCGTGAGACTCAACAATGTTCAGCTATGGTTCCATGGAAATTAGCAAACATAGTGTTTGAAGTGTGTGGTCCCAATCTGATGTTACTGTGTTCTCTTTTAGACATTGAGGATGATGGGATTGATTGGCTACTACGAGGTGAATGAGGGCTTGAATTATGTGGCTATTGACCAAGCGCTGCTTGCTTACGACAAACTTTTTGGATTCGACATTTAGGGCATTGACTGCGGAGACCTTTTATTTATCTTAACAATACGAGTTGAGTCATATTTATTTTATCAGAAGCTTGTGGGTTCATGATGAAACGATGGAATTTGCGAGCTTGAATCTTGTGAGTTCTATATTACAGCAAAACTATACAGTAAACATTCTTTCTCTTATCATCACCAAGTAGCAACTTTCAAACTCTTGATAAGGGTTTGGAAAGAGACTCGTAAAGCCAATAGGGTAGAGGATAGTTAGTGAAGGGAGCTGTTAAATTTTGAATAATTTTTGCGAACCACGCAAATTGAATACTATATTTGACAATTCAGAATCAAATAGCTAGTAATGTCCCACTAATATGTCTCTCTCTCTCTGCCATACTTTTATGATACACCTATTATATAGTACAACTTTAGGACATGGAATTGTAACTGAGTATAAAAATGCTGTACACATAAATCTATGATGTTACGACGCTTCGCCCGTAATCAAATTTAGATTGTCTAATTGTACGGTGGGTGAAAGAGCCAGAAATCTAGCTTATGGGGAGTGAAATTGCCCGCTCGTTTGAGTTTAACCTCTAAAAATGTTGTACGTTCGGTATTTTGTTCTCCAGGAGGCGACATCCCTTGCTTGTTCCTCCTTAACTCAATTTCAGTGACGGTACAACATCGTACCTCAGATATTTGCTAAGACCAACTATTTTCATGCGTGCATGGTGAGGAAACCCTAATTTTTGAAACCCTAAATCGCGAAAAATAATGAAAGTACTAATTTCCTAATCGACTTTATATAGCCCATTGATTTTGAAGTAACTCCCCTCTTGGTTCGATTGAAGTCGATTCTGTTTAAAGTTCTCTAACAATCTTAATCTCGTTAAGTGCTCAACTTATAAATTTTTAGTAGCTAACTGGGTTATCAAACCGGTCCCATGTACAACTTTTGCCTTTGAAAAATCCTACGAGTCTGATCATCCGCTGACCCGTAATCGATCCCGTCCGATCCAGAAGGCCCGTAAGACATTGCAATTTCCGGGTTCGACCAAAGCATTTTTGGAGTGGTAGGTAGCAGTAGACCCGTAGCTACTGAGCAATATGATGAAATAAAACTACCAAACATGCTGGCTTTTTGGGCTTGCCCCGCGTGGGGCGTGGCCGTGAAATCATACGAACCGGAACCATGAGGCATTTTCCAGGAAAATCGCCAGGACCTGATTTTCGCGGAAAATTCCCCTTGTCGGTCACGCCGTTGCATGTACGTGGTTCTCTTCTTCTCTCTCTCTTTCAACAACAACAACGACAACGATGGCAACAACCACCAGTCCAAACTGGCGAGGAGACTCGAGTCAGCTAGAGAAGTTGGACGGCCACGACAGAGACAGAAGAGACCGGCGGATGGAGGAGATGCCGGAAGAAAGACAACCAGAGACGACACATAATATGTGATGATTGAATTACGCGATCGAATGTTACGTCAATATGGGAGTTGATTAAAAAAAAGCGAATCGAGTGGTCCGCTCTTCAATCGCCTGTGCAGCAAAAGCAAATATCCACACGCATTCGACTTCTTCTTTTTTCTTTGTACAATTTCTATCTACACACCACCCGCCTGGGTGGCGCTGCTGGAGCGCGCACTCTTCCTCTCGCAAAAGGTTGAGTGTTCGAATCCCGTGCTTGGGGATTTAACCGGGAGACGTGTGTGGTGGATTAAGACGTTGTCGCCTCTGGGTTTACTCTCCCATTTGTCGGCCGTCGCGGGGTTCCCTGGTCATCAAAAAAAAATAAAAATAAAATTTCTATCTACATTGAAGTCGGTTCTCTCCGTGAACAAAGAAAACGCTTTTCCAAGTTACTATCGATGGACCTTTTCCAGAGCAATTCCGTCTGGTTACGATTAATTTCCTAATTCTCAGGAATTTTTTTGTCAAATGGAAATTTTTTGTTAATATTCGTCCTCCAGGATGGAGCACGCACATCCACACCCTTTATTACTGGTAACCGATTAAGTAAAGTCCTCTTTTAATAATATGTGGATCGGAAGGTGTGTAATATATAAACGAATGAATATATGCTTAAAAGCACGTCGAAAAGTGACGATAGTAGTATCGTAAAGTAATGTTATCGTGATTTGTCATCAATCGTATTATAAACAAAACAAAAAAACTTACGTAACAAATCAAGCAACGATAATCTTTTTGTTGACATTGTTAATTTAATGAAGAGCCATATTAATCTGTCTACAACATTCCTCAATGTACATAAATTTTCTCAATAAATAACTATAACGCATATTTATGGTTAAGCCCGATTTCAAGGTTCATAAACTTTGAACTTGGAATTTAATAAAAGGAAGCAGCGATTTAAAAAAAAAATGTAGAAGAATGACTTAAGTGTTGAGCATGGGACGACTCAAAGAAATTGTCGGCAGCTGGATTAATCTAACTTCCTAAAAATATTGAAAATGGTAGGTATATTGGGTTACTGCTCTCGAGGAGGCCGACAGCTAGGGGTGTCAATGGGTCGGGTCGGGTTCTACTAGTGTCCGACCTGACTCGAATCATACGTGTTCATGCTCTCTCTGACCCGACCCGAATCACATAGGACCCGTACTGAAAATCCGGGTTGGGTCGGTTCGGATCGGGTCGGTTTTCGGGTTTCTGGTTATTTTTTTCCTCTGGGTTTGCCAAACCAGCAAACCTTTTTTAATGCTTCTTAATGACATCATGAGTATTTAAACCTATCTTCCCTGATCAACACAGGCAGACACTCTTTAGATTGTGATGTTAAATCCTCGGAGTAAGACTGCAATTTCGCACTGCTATGTAATTTGTCAAGAGTCCTCCATGTAACCGCATCAGGAGCTAGACCATTCTTCTTCTTTTCACCGAGAATTTGAGAAGCCTCTCTTTTCAATCCTAATTTACAGGCTTTATCAATCAAAATGTTGTAGCAAAAAGTATTCGGAGAAACCCCAGAGTCTACCAGTTAATAAAGCAAAATGACAAGCCCCGTCCAGATCACCTTATATACAAATTCCTTTGAGTACGGCTGCATACACGTAGTTGTCACGCATTTTGGATGGCCAGATAACATCGTCCCATAACCTCTTAGCTTTGTGTACTTGATTACAATTACGTAGACCGGAAGGAGTGTTCTCTTGGAAGAGCCTAGGCGGACTGTGGCGAGCTCGTCGGATTGGAGCTTCCTCAGGGAGTGACGACCAAGATGGAGGCGGAATCAACCCAGCAACAAAGGGGGAGACCGAAATGGCCTCGATTGAGGGGGCGGTGAGGGTAGGAGAAGATGGGCATGCGGAAGGAGACGAATCATTCTGTAAGAGAGAGTGTATTGTGAATTAATTATACTTGGGATTTCAACTCAGTTTTGGTAAAGTAATGTGTTTCGGTTCAGTTCGTGTTATGACCTGAACCGAACCGAAACAAATCACAATGCACATTTTATAATTATATACCCGAACATAGTAAGACCCGAACCGAAAATATCCTAAAATTTTGGGCCGGTTCAGGTCGGTTCGTGTTTCGGTTCGGGTATAATGTTTGGTTTTGACACCCCTACCGACAGCCCTCGCTCATTCCTCCTTTGACTCAATAATATCATCGTATGGATGCAGTGCTTACGGGTAATTGCCATTGGAAGTTGCTTACATGGCGTTTGATCATAATTGGCCGCCTTATATGATATGCTAATGGGGACAACTTTATTTGAAGTGACATTTTACGTGAATCATCACGTGAGCGATTTCTGATGACAATTAATCAGGATAACTACAACGAAAGTTGAGTAAAACTTTAGAATTATATTAGCAAAATTAAAAAGTTTAGAGTTAAAATGACATTCATATAATCAATTCAGGCCTGAATTAGCAATTTTCCCCCGCTCCAAGCATTGCAGCTCCCTTCAGCAGCGGTCATGCGGTAGTTCAAGCTTTGTTGAGTGGTAAGACTGCGGACAATTGATGGTTGAGCTTAACTTATGTGATCCTAGAATTTTAAAAGTTGTAAAGTCAAGTCCTTGAACTTGTAAAATTATTTTTTGGATAATTGTACTAAAAGTCCTAAATTTGTTATTAAAAGTGTAATTAAGTCCTAAAACTTTTAAAAAATGCAATCAAGTCCTAAAACTAATCAAGTTGATGTAATCAAATCCTTTCATTAATTCTGTCCAACTTGACAAACAGAAAATACTAATAAGTTTTATACTTGATTGCACAAACTCGACAAGTTTTAGGATTTAATTACATTTTTTGATAGCTTTAGAACTCAATTGCACTTTTATAACAAGTTTTAGGATTTTCAATGCACTTATCCTTATTTTTTTTTGCATCAAGCGCCTCGTTGCCAATCCGAAATAATTGAATGTAATGGGTCCATCTGTGCCGACCGCATGCTCAATATTGAAGTAAACAATTTGTCTCACGTGGAAGTCACTGTCAAAAAGCTCGCTGTGCTGCGGTTAGCTTGCCTGCGCGGGAAGACGGGAATCTCTCCTCTCCAAAAAAATAAAGAAATTCGGAGTCAATGATTCTCAGTGATATCCCATCCTATTTCCTTTTTTCCTCCTTTTTTTTTTGTTTCCCATTTTTTCATGCAACGCATTTCCTGGAAATGTACATGAAGTCACTTTTCTCGGAAAATCATCTGCCTACTACTCCTTCGGACACTACAAAACCAAACGCATCCAAGTGATTACTAACTCATTACTTTGACTTTGAGTTCGTCGACAAACTGCTCATGGTCTCATAATTTTCCCTGCTGCATTTTTTTTTCTCAGCAACTAAACACCAGACACTTTCTCAGTTCCTGTTTAGCTTGACAAAAGAAAAGAAAAATCATGTCGTTGCAAAAGAGATCTTCGGCATCTAGTTCTTCAAATCAACCAGATCAACCCAAGAGGCCACGCTTCTTTCCAATCAAGTAAGTTCACTCTTTCTTCATTACAATGCTCAATTAAATGTTTGATGATCGTATTAGTTTTAGCTTTACTTGAAGGAAATTCAATGAAGAGTTCTTGAGTAGAAGATTTTTTGAAATGAGAAATATGGCGAAGCCTACGTTGAAGTATAACGTTGATTACCTTTTGCCTCATGACTGTTCTGAATCACTTTGATTCAGTTTTTTGTTTGTGGGTTTGTGCTGTGGCTTCAATTTGATGTATTGAAGACCTACATATGTTGTCATCTCGGAACTGTTATGCAATTTCACGTTGGCCAATTGCATTACTTCTTCCTTATTTGGATTGCTTTCTTTTAAATATCTTTTACCGAGCAAGTGAGCTGTTGCTGTTACCGGGTTACTTTGCTATCCTATTTGCCAAGTTATCCTATCTTGCTTGTTTTCTGTGATGATCTTCACTCAGGCAAGAGAGGAGCTGTTTGACGGAAGGGGATGTCCGGAGAGTGGTAAGATGAGCAAAGTAGCCAACTTGGACATACAAAATGCAGTCTTCATTGTATATGACAAGCTGACTCTTCAATTAGAAGCGGTTTGGATGCATTTCTGACATTCCAGTTAGTTTCTGGATAATCGGCATGAGAAATTGCTGTGAGATGTATAGAGAATGATCGTTTGAGTTGTAACAATGACCCGCTGACTGTTCTAGGCTTTTCCTGTGAAGCAATCCCACTAAGAACATGATTTAGGTTTTTCATGTTGTTTTGGACAACATGGATCGCAAAAAGATACAAATTTTCAATGAAGCGCCTAAGCATAATTGTCTTCTTGAATCTTGGAAGAAGTGGTCAATGACAATTTGCATGTAGAACGAGGACAATGAAGATACCGGTGATGTGAAAATTGAATACGATGGATATGTGACAGATGATTCCTGCAATGTAATTCTTCGCTATTGCTCTTTACTGAACAGATCAAAGAAGAGCTGGAGCATGCTACATCTCTCTCGGCCAAATATTGTCAAAGGTGAATATATTTCATTTGGTTTGTTGGCAGTATCTCTTATCTGCATCAACTGATTCCTCTAGTAGAATTTCCATCTGTACTGTCTCACCCACAAAGAAAAGAAATTATCGAGCATCATATGCCATCAGTCAATGATTCTGTTCGGCAAAGTGTAATACCATCACATACATTTTTTTTTTAAATCACTAAATGAACGGTGCATTTGGTGATAGCTGCTAATTAACTTTACTTGCCTCTGTTATCAATGTACTGGATAAATATGTATTCCAGCTTTTTGTTGACTTTTCTATGTCGCCTTAGACTAAGGGAATGCATTTGATGAGTCTGGTATCTATCTTTGTATATTGTAATTAGGTCTGACATTCATGCGTACTAATAATTAAAATGTTACACGTGGATATTTGTCTATTTGTTATGAATAAGTCCACAAGACAGCAGTTGTTCATGGTGTAAATCTTCGTGGTGTAGTTGTACCGGCAATGCTCTTGAAGAGATAACCAAACAGATGCGGCCAATGATGGAAAATTTTTTGCAGGAAATGGTAAGATAAACAGAGTGTACAAAATTTCAACTTTGTCTCAGACATATCACCATCAACACTTCAGATATGAGCTGTTTATCTGCATGTCATGAAGTGATCGAATAAACTTATTGAGCAACAAGTCCGTTGCTAGCTAATTGATTCATGCTGACTGTTTGAACAGCATTCATTGAGCACAAACTTTGTACAATTTCCTTTTTTTTTTTGTAAGTAAACATTCATTTTTTTGCACAACCTGCGGAAAGAAAAACATGGGAGGGCTGTGTTCCATGCATGTCCATTACAGCATAATGTCCCACCTATATAGCCGACATCAAGGTGCCGGACCTTCCCTGAACTCTTGGAGAAGATCAGCCTGTTATCCCCAAACCTTCCCTTCGATGTGAACTCTTGGGGAAGATCAGACTATTATCCCCAGAGCAACTTTAATCTGTTGAGCGACCTCCCTTCCACTTGGCACCATCGGATCACTAAGGCCATCTACACTACCAGTACCAACAGCAAAATGCTACCCAAAAAAATAAGATGCAAACTCAAAACAATGCCACCAGATTACAGCAAAGTTCGTCAACATGAACTTGCCAATTCTACAGAGACACTTAATATCAGCAGTGTCTTATTTCCTTCCAGAACCATAGCTTCTAAAGAGACTTTTACAGAAAAAAACAACTGCATCAAGGACACAATAAGATTGCGGGATACATTTTCTTGCTTCACTAAGTTCCTCTCTCTCCAGAGATAATAAATTGTTGCCTTCCAGGCTAATTTCCTCCCTAGTACCTTCAAAGTATTCCCCTTCATGTTCTGCAAGGCCCAAGTAAGTTCATCCTTCCAGTTACTTGCAGATCTAGGACATGAGAGTAGCTATAAATTTGTCCCCAAAATCTGCTTTGAGAATTCGTACTTCAAGAACAAGTGCATTCGAGGTTCTTCATGTTGTCTTAATAGCATACAAGTGCTATCAATGTCACACTAGGTTTTCGTCCCGTCTAGTGTGTGCAACCTATTATGAATCACCTGCCAATTTATAAAGCCATATTTGGGCACATTGGGCTTAAACCATACGAGCCTAAGCCAAGTCACTTTGTTCCCCCATTTGCTCACTAGCTTCCAAGCCTCTTTTATAGAGAAAAGCCCCTAGATGATCCAGTTAATACCACTGTGTCTACAGAGCTAGAGTTTGGAGCAATCAACCCACACAAAGCCATCTGAGTTCAAGCATATCATTAGATCTTGCTGGAGGCCATCTCCATTCATTTGCCTCAATAACATCTGGTACCGTGGCTTTATCACCTAAAGCTGAATCATAACCATTCCAAAGCACATTTAAATTTTTGCATGGACATGGAATGAAAGGGGAAAATGAAAATGCTTAGGATTGTTCATATGAGCTATATATACAACTGCTCTTTGGTAAACACTGTGATTTCAAATGTGCCTGAAAAACTTGGCTCAATAAGGTGTTTGATAAGTTGTTTTTAAGAAGGAATGATCATATAGGTTTTTCGACTCCTTCTAACGGAATATATTGGTTTTGTATCCCAACTTGGAGGTGTTGAACAGAAAGAAGCATTCGGGCTTGCAAAAATTCACTCTCCCCACCTTGGAAGGTATGAATGCACTTCCCCCGTGATGCCGTTGAGAAAGGCTTTTTGCTAGTATCGAACAGTTATGCAAGTTGATGTTTTAGGGGAATAGTGGTCCGACCTATTGTTACCAACCCGCAGCAGGCAGCCAGAGCTCAGTGAGTGTCAGGCCACTATGACTTGGTCGTGTACCAAAGTGTCAATGCTCCACGTTGGACATAATTTTCGTAGCTTGAGAACAGTGAAGTACTTTATTTTTTCAAAAATTTGCATTATTAAACTCTGAGACAACGGATCTATTTAGCCTTGTAGTTTCCCTGGCAGTAAGATTGTCCAAGTGAGATGTCTGGTAGTTTGTCTCTCTTTATCGTTACTTTTCGAATTTTCCGCTTCTGTAACTGTTCCTAATTCTAATGGTTGTTTTCCGGAGAGAATGCAGGGCTAATGCTAGATCTACGGCAAACAATTATACGAGAAACTTACAGCTTCAACTTCAAACCAAACTGTCACTTCCTTTATTTACCGGAAAGAAACTAGAAGGAGAGAAGGGTACTCCCATTTCCGTTGCCTTGATCGATGCGAATACAGGGGATGTCGTTACATCAGGCCCGGAATCCTCCATTAAATTGGACATTGTCGTGCTTGAAGGTGACTTCAACAAAGAGGATGGGGATAACTGGGCTCAAGAAGAGTTTGAGAACTACGTGGTTAAAGAACGTGATGGAAAGAGACCACTTTTGACAGGAAATCTCATAGTGACGCTCAAGGGAGGTGTTGGGGAGCTGGGAGAGCTGATATTTACTGACAATTCCAGCTGGAATAAGAGTAAAAGATTCAGGATAGGGCTTAAGGTGGCAACAGGTTATTGTGGGAATACACGAATCCAAGAAGCAAAAACAGAAGCCTTCCGTGTCAAGGAATACAGAGGAGAAGGTAGGTCCTATTTCTTTATATAGTATATAACCTTCCTCTATGACCGACCATAAACATGATTTTGGACATCAATGGTCTTCAATTTTTAATTGAGATCTTATGAACCCCAATATCTCGAACGTTGTGATAAATAAGAAACGATCGGCTTCTTTGTTATTAGCAAATGTTGACACTTTGGATCAGATTCAGGGGAGAGTTTGCACGCCTATCAGAAGTTTACTTCTACTACTCATTAATCTAACAGTGACTGGGACCTTACTGTATATGTTCTCTTCATTTACAGCGTACAAGAAACATCATCCACCTGCATCTGACGATGAGGTTTGGAGGTTGGAGAAGATTGCCAAAGATGGGAAATCTCACCAAAAACTGAAGGAAGCCGGAATACATAAAGTGGAGGACTTTCTACTGCAACTGCTTACGGACTCCAAGAAGCTGAGAGAGGTAAGTACTTACGTATTAATTCTCAATTAGGGTTTGATTGACTACCAAGAATGTAAGTCTCGTGTGTTCACTCATCATAGATTCTTGGAAATAGCATAACATCGAAGAACTGGGAGATCCTCGTACATCATACAAAGACTTGCAAAACAAATTCGAAACTTTATTTGTACTATCCTGATGGCATGACGATGCATGGTGCTATATTCACCCTTGATGGTCAACTGATTGGCCTAATCGAAGACAGGGCATATTTTGCTACTCATCAACTTTCCGCCCAAGAGAAGGTAAGTAACTAAGGAGTTCCCAATGAGATTTGTCAAGCCAGTCCATGCGCTACACACCATCATGCTGAGTTCATATGATATGTCCCATATTATCTATGTAATCAGTAGTTTGATGTTTACTCGTAGCTTTGTGGCTTAATAGGTGTTAGAATTGATCAAAGATATGGAAACTTGAAAAAAAGAGTTAGTTGGACATCTAGATGCTTTGCTTTTTTATTTGTCAGTAAAGGTAAATTGAAGTGCCTGTGGAGAGAACAAAAAGAAAATCTAGATGCTAGTGATTTTGAGCTATCACTCTTTGCAATGCAAAGTTGAGGTTTGCGACCTTGTAAATCTAAGTGGCCTTCTGTAGAGAGCACTTTTAGCTGTTGATTCGGTGTCATCCACGACAATTAGTACATTCACGTTGCAACTATGACTTTTCAAGTCTAAAAACAATGAAGATCTTAATTACTTGCACAACATAAGTTGATGGGTGTTTTATATCTTCACCGGTCCTTTCTCAATCAACTTGCATCTTTACCCTGAGGACCCTTGCCTTGATTGTACTCTCCATTACATCTTTCAAGCACCTGACCTTTATGTGGTTGAGAAATGGGCAGCAATAGGGATAATGTGAATTGAGGTTCTTTCAATGTTTTCTTTATTCTTCTTTCTGGGTGCTGCACTTACATACTTGCTCTGAATACAAGTTCATCCATTGGAATGCAACATTACTAGCCAAAGAAAGATATTGTTGAAGTCAGAGTGTGTGCCTTCAATAATGGAGATAAATACTTCCGTTAGTCCAGCTTGAGTGATATGCCGACTGTTCTTCCAGGAACATGGAGATTCAATCGTGAAAAAAGCCTTTGATAACTGGAATGATGTTAGGGAGTTCAATGGTGAGACCTTTTCTGGTTCAATGCAGAAGAAAAGCTCAAGCACTTTTCCATCTCAAGTTCTTGAAGGACAAACTGATAATCTCACCCCTGTTCAACGTAATTTGGCTCCACGAATCTCTGCCGCTCCAGTTGGTCTGGAAGCTCCTCCGGCAATTGAAGGCTCCACTGCTGAAGGTACATGCTCTAAGACACAAAACTCTCTCTCCCTTTAAGCACATACAGAGACGTGGCCTGTGGAATAACAATGAAAACAGGACTTTCCACTTTGTTCTTGAGCTTTAATAAATAAAAGCAATATGTTCCAAGTCCTTATGATTTGGGTTCCACATAATACGAAGACGTTTCTTTGTCGAGCTACACTTCAAAATGAACTCGCATCCAAGGAGATTTTACTAATTTTGCCCTGTCGTTGGCACTGACCTGTAAGTAATATGTAGAGGATTTTCATTTGTTAGTTAGGCTTCAATGTGTCTTTAGATGCAACCAAGAATGCTTGAAAATAGTTTTTACTGATGAAGAACAAACAAGAGGAGGAGGTTATTGCAGGTTACTACCAAAAGCTGTGATCTGATAGACTATCAGTACGAAGGCAACAGGACAACAATCAAGAACTTCATTTTACTAGGGTTCAATTTAAGAGATGCAATTTCAATTTGGACATGAAAGATCTAAGAGTTAAAGCATGATAGTGGCTCAAAAGGACATGCAATGTGGAGAACAGTCAATAATTCAATGCTAATTATACACGACAAGCTACATTTTGTAAGTTGTGATTGTTGCAAAATGAGCCTCATTCAATAAACTATTTATTTGGCCATATATGTATGTGTATGTATGTATGTATGTATGTATGTATTATATATGTATGTGTTCTGTCCAAGCAATTAAAAAGCTACTAAAAAATTAGTTGGTAACATACTATGCCTTTCTGAGTGGCGGATTGGGGAAGGGACAGGGGCACCTTCACTTAAGTGATGCTAAGTGGATATTGACAAGATATTGCTATGACTAGGTTAGATATGAGTAGATGTAATAAGCACGCGGCAATGTGTGTTTATGTGCATTTTTATCGAATGGTGACCGGAAGATTGTATTAGAAAAAGGAAGGTTTGCTGGTTCAACTTATATATCATTAGTTGAAATATAAGCAGTGAAGGGAAATGGCCCTGTCGGTTGAAGCACTCAAAGATTGCAAAGACCAGTGGCAAGAAAAATTAATGAGATGTGGAGGGTAAGGAAAAAGAATTAGTAGCACTTTCCGTGATATCACAATAGCAAAAGCTTACAACCATTCATTCCAAAACTTTTAATCAGATCTTCAACCTGTGCTCAAGTCGGCATATGTTTACCAACAACATTAATGTTCTTGTTCTTTCTGCAGGACATACCATGGAGATTTCAGTTGATGGAAGTGTTCGTCTCGCTGCACATCAATCCATATCTCCAGACCGCTGTAATGTTCTAATTTCTCCGGGAGATAATGGTATTACTACTGTCGGATTGTCAAACCAGTCCCATAATATCAATTTACAGTATGCGATGGGCAGCCAAATGATCGATTCTTCGTGCCAAATGGACTATGCAGTAGATCAGAATGTTCTCCCCTCTGAACCAACCTATGCCTCAATATCAAGCTTCCAATCTGGCAGTACACCTCCACTTCCTGGAGGCAGTCCCGTGACAGAAAATTTCCAATCAATCGTTCCAGATTATGTGTGGGATTACTTGTTGGCTGATGATGGCGGGTCCTTTCAGACTCCAACATGGGAAAACACGTGATGATGGTCTTGTATGGTACCCGCAAAATTGTTAATGGCTGGCTCAAAATTGTTACTGTCGCATTAGGTAAGATACTTCTCGGTATACTATCCTGATAGAATTGATGGTAATTTTCTTAGATGAGGGCATACTATCTACATATCTGCATTGTGTAGAGTGCGCAACCTTGCTCTGATACCACTTGTAGGGTACGTGGAAGCTTTGTGGTGGTAACACGAGAGAATTGTAATAGACAATTCGAGATATACTCATTTTACCAAATTGCAGTACACAACGCTCAATATCATCTCACACAACTATTACAATCTACTTTCTCTCACCACACTCAAAACACTCAAAGCAATACACACTCACTCATAGAGGAGCCGACCCTCTCTCTCTCTATGTCTACCTGGGCTCTATAGACCGCGCCCAAAACACTCACTCATAGAGGAGCCAACCCTCTCTCTCTATGTCTACCTGGGCTCTATAGACCGCTGTCTATCTCTTCTTTCTGTTCTGAGCCTCTCTTCTTTGGGCTCTATAGATCCTTTGCTGACTTCATCATGCAATCGAATATGGACATTGCACAGTAATGTTGACTTTTCTTCTTTGGCCAACAGCTTGCACCTTGAAACATTCTAGCTGTCTTCAAAGTTGTAGTTCGCAATTTAATTTTGGGAAAAAGCCACCAAAAATCTCAAATTAAGCCCACTGTGACATATTTATCATGAACATTTTTTTGTGACATAAAAAATCCTAAACTATATCCACCGTGACACATTTACCGTAAACTTTTTCTTATGACATAAAAATCCCAAACTTGTACCTATGTGGTATATTTATCCTTCGTCAAAGTTATATCAGATGATTTTTTTAACCAAAACAACGTTGTTTTTATTTCACTCAAGTCAGGTGGATGCCATGTCAATACCGTTTGCTTTCCGACGTTCATGTTGGCAGATTTTTAACGGTGCTGATCAATGGAACCTTGACGGAGGGTAAATGTGTCACATAGTACAAATTTGAGATTTTTTGCATCACAGAAAAAAGTTTGAGGTAAATATGTCGCAATTGACATAATTTGGGGTTTTTAGTGGCTTTGCCCTTTAATTTTTTCTTTACTAGAGTCGGTTAGGACCAAAGTCACAACTCGGACTTTTCTTGCTTTCTCATATTAGGTGTTGACTCCAGCATTTTGGATCCCGTCATCATTGATATTGTTAGAGCCCGTCTGCTTCTTTGCTTTCGAATTCGAGCATGGGTTTGTGACATAAGATCGGGATCACCACGTTTATTGAAGGAAATTGGAATGTACGATTTTGTGTTCAAATGGGTGATCCTAGGTGGTCATCATTATTTACCAGCGTCATTGCGTGTTTCTTTTGTTTTTTTGGGTCAATTTCCTTTTTTGATGGACTCTCACGTTTTTTCCGATAATAATCTATTTACGGCTAAAATCTGTTTGTTCCTTAAAAACAAATAAATACATTCGACTCCAATATAATAGGGTGAATTTATTTCTTGTCATGCCTAAAACTCGTTGACCTAGATAGAGTAAGCACACCTAGGGTGAATTTGTTTGGTGAGTCTATACGCACGCTTTTTAGGCTGGTTGCTTCCCTTGCACATATATACATTTGTGTTCGTCTATCAATAGATGTCAATAAAATCGATAAAGCCTCGCGACGAAGTGATCGCGTCGCGTGATGAGCCGGACACATGTGACCTTTGGTTTGGATGAATGAGTATAATAGGCGTTAGAAGAGCATCTTCGAACCAACTGCTCATATCAATAAAGCGGTCTCTATTCATATCATAGAACATTATTTAATGAGGACATTAAAGTTAGAATCCCATTGAAAAGCCCGTTTTATCTTCATGACCCGAGCTTCACTAGTTTTTCTAATTTTTACCCGCAATGATATCACAAGTACCAAGCACATAAGGTTTCCATGGAAAATCACCTATCCACTAGAGAGGCCACTAGAGTGGTGAGAGTATTATATGGACTCAATCGAACCAAAAAAAGAAAGAACGCCGGATGTGATCATGGGTCTAGTTAAAGAGCTGCCGGGCCCGATCAGGCCGAAAGGCAAGTTGGGCAGGTCTAGGCAAGCGATTGATCATTCGAAAAGTATACTTGGATTCTGCGCTTACCACGTCCGTCCATCGAGTCGTATGTATTAAATGAAGCTATCCTCAAGCAATAAAGCTATTTTTAGGAACACATACACCGTTAAATTATGATGCTAAGTTCCCACGATATTCTCCATTCATTCAGATCGTTAGTTTAATAATGATGTTGAGTTACAAATGATAATTAGTTCTATTACCACTGAAAAAGTAGCGGAAGTAGATTTTACAAGACTGAACAACGGCTATTAATAGAGGGTTTAGCCAAAGGTGCTTTGTGTGACAGGCACAAATCATCTTCTATCCATTCTTACAAGAAAAAAGGGCAAATACCACAAAAAACCTCAAATTATGCCCACTGTGATACAAGTATCCCAAACTTTTTATGTCACAAAAAATTCTAAAATTGCTTACTGTGACACAAAAACCCCAACTTCACCCTATACTAAAAGTGTAAGATTTGCAACCAACTTTCAATAATTACAAAAACGGACGTTTCCTCTCCAATGAAAGCTCTCTGATTCCGCTCTTTCCAAATCAACCAGAAAACAACAGGACGGATTGAAGAAATCCTACTTTTCTTAGTACGAGGCAAATGAAGTCCTTTCCATGCCCATGATTCTTGTTCAATTGATTCTCCTATAACCCAAGATAGCCCAGTGCACGCATAAGTGGTCACCCATATCATTCTTGTCCACGGACAGTGAAGGAGGAGACTCACCGTATCTGCCTCTCTCTTGCAAACGAAAACTTTTATAGACCAGCACACTCCCTCTATTCTGCAAATTGTCCAACATGAGATTACGTTCCCAAGATGCTTTCTTAACCAAAAATGAAACTCTAGTTGGTACTCTAACTTTCCATGGGACCAAAACCACCATGTGCAACATCAGGAGCGCAGTTAGCAGCTTAGGAGCACTCTATGCTCTGCCAAGTTCTAAAGTTTGATTCATTTGACATGTTATGGTACTTTTAACTGGAGATGCTTTTTGTTACTTTCAGCAAATTCCGTGAACTTGATGTCCTCGATTTTCTTATGGATATTTTGACCACTAACTTTGCATCTTCCTACCTTGTTTGATCTGTCTGAAAAAAAAGAAACATATTAGAGACATCTTCTTTGTGCCTTTGTTATCCATACAAGTCCAGCCTGAATTCTTTGAGAAAAAGTCACAAAAAAACCTCAAATTATGTCCACTGTGGCATTTATCTTGAACATTTTTTTGTAACATCAAAAATCCTAAAATATATCCACTGTGACATATTTACCGTAAACATTTTTTTGTGACATAAAAATTCTAATCTTGTATCTATGTGGCATATTTATCCTTCGTCAAGGTTATATCAAATGATTTTTTGGCCAAAATAACGTCGTTTTTATTTTACTCAAGTCACGTGAGTGCCATGTCAATACCGTTTGCTTTCCGAAGTTTATGTTAGTAGATTTTTAACGGTGCTAATCGATGAAATCTCGACGGAGGTAAACATATCACATAGTACAAATTTGAGATTTTTTGCATAACAGAAAAAAAATTAAGGTAAATATGTCACAATTGATATAATTTGGGGTTTTTAGTGGCTTGGCCCTTTAATTTTTTCTTTACCAGAATCGGTTAGGACCAAAGTCCAACTCGGACTTTTCTTGCTTTCTCATATTTGGTGTTGACTCCAGCATATCGGATCCCGTCATCATTGATACTGTTAGTGCCCGTTTGCTTCTTTGCTTTCGAATTCGAGCATGAGTTTGTGACATAAGATCGGGATCACCACGTTTATTGAAGGAAATTGGAATGTACGATTTTGTGTTCAAATGGGTGATCCTAGGTGATCATCATGATTTACCAGTGTCATTGCGTCTTTCTTTTGTTTTTTGGGTCAATTTCCTTTTTTGATGGACTGTCACGTTTTTTCCGATAATAATCTATTTACGGCTAAAATCTGTTTGTTCCTTAAAAACAAATAAATACATTCGACTCCAATATAATAGGGTGAATTTATTTCTTGTCATGCCTAAAACTCGTTGACCTAGATAGAGTAAGCACACCTAGGGTGAATTTGTTTGGTGAGTCTATATGCACGCTTTTTAGGCTGGTTGCTTCCCTTGCACATATATACATTTGTGTTCGTCTATCAATAGATGTCAATAAAATCGATAAAGCCTCGCGACGAAGTGATTGCTTCGCTTGATGAGCCGGACACATGTGACCTTTGGTTTGGATGAACGAGTATAATAGGCGTTAGAAGAGCATCTTCGAAAATGAAAATGAACATATGGGCGTGGATAATTTCCATAAACCAACTGCTCATATCAATAAAGCGGTCTCTATTCATATCACAGAACATTATTTAACGAGGACATTAAAGTTAGAATCCCATTGAAAAGCCCGTTTTATCTTCATGACTCGAGCTTCACTAGTTTTTCTAATTTTTACCCGCAATGATATCACAAGCACCAAGCACATAAGGTTTCCATGGAAAATCACCTATCCACTAGAGAGGCCACTAGAGTGGTGAGAGTATTATACAGACTCAATCGAACCAAAAAAAGAAAGAACGCCAGATGTGATCATGGGTCAAGTTAAAGAGCTGCCGGGCCCGATCAGGCCGAAAGGCAAATTGGGCAGGTCTAGGCAAGCGATTGAACATTCGAAAAGTATACTTGGATTCTGCGCTTACCACGTCCGTCCATCGAGTCGTATAAATTAAATGAAGCTATCCTCAAGCAATAAAGCTATTTTTAGGAACACCTACACCGTTAAATTATGATGCTAAGTTCCCACGATATTCTCCATTCATTCAGGCTGTTAGTTTAATAATGATGTTGAGTTACATATGATAATTAGTTCTATTACCACTGAAAAAGTAGCGGAAGTAAATTTTACAAGACTGAACAACGGCTATTAATAAAGGGTTTAGCCAAAGGTGCTTTGTGTGACAGGCACAAATCATCTTCTATCCATTCTTACAAGAAAAAAGGGCAAATACCACAAAAAACCTCAAATTATGCCCATTGTGACACAAGTATATCAAACTTTTTTTTATGTCACAAAAAACTCTAAACTTGCCTACCGAGTCACGAATACCCCATCTTCACCCTATACTAAAAGTTTAAGATTTTCAATACTTACAAAAACGGACGTTTCCTCTCCAACGAAAGATCTCTCATTCCGATCTTTCCAAATCAACCATAATACAAGAGGAGGGATTGAAGAAATCTTACTTTTCTTAGTACCGAGGCAAATGAAGTCCTTTCCATGCCCATGATTCTTGTTCAATTGATCCTCTTATAACCCAAGATAGCCCAGCGCACGCATAAGTGGTCACCCATATCATTCTTGTCCACGGAGAGTGAAGGAGGAGACTCACTGTCTCTATCTCTCTCTTAAAAAAGAAACTTCTATGGACCAGCACACTCCCACTTTTCTGTAAACTGTCCAACATGAGATTACGTTCCCAAGATGCTTTCTTAACCAAAAATGAAACTCTAGCTGGTACTCTCACTTTCCATGGGACCAAAACCACCATGTGCAACATCAGGAGCGCAGTTAGCAGCTGAGGACCGAGTTCTAAGTTTTGACTCATTTGCCATGTTATGGTACTTTTAACTGGAGATGCTTTTTGTTGCTTTCAGCAAATTCTGTGAACTTATGTCCTCGATTTTCTTATTGATATTTTGACCACTAACTTTGCATCTTCCTACTTTGTTTGATCTGTTTGGAAAAAAAAGAAACATATTAGACACATCTTCTTTGTGCCTTTGTTATCCATACAAGTCCAGCCTGAATTCTTTTGAGTCACCTTGGGTGTAAGATAAGCCTGATAAGGCGACTGGTTGAGGAAGTAGTAATTTTCAAGTCTTCCAGGACTATGCAGATAGATTGGTGAAAAATGCCTATGAGAATTGGAATGATGTTAGACAGTTCGATGCTGAGGCTTCTTCAAGTTCCATGTCGGAGAAGTTCTCAAGTTCTTTCCTATCTGAAGTTCTAGGAGATCAGCAATGCTGCCATCCAGTTCACGACAATATGCCTCCGCCGAGATTGGCCAGTCAAGTTGGTTTGAAAGTACCTCCAAGAAGTTCAGCATCCACGGTGGAAGGTATGCGCTCTAACTGTCTATGAGGAAAAGAAAAAGTCGCCTATAATAAAACACTAGCTGAGATGTACCCACTTCTTTTGCGGTTTTAGTTATCAAGGTGATGGTGCAACTAAAAGTTTCACAGTACCGTACACCTTCGGGAGAAAAATATGCAGGCTTCCAATGATATGGCTTTGGAGGTGACGAAAACCAACTGTTCCATAAGTAGCATAGTCAGACAAGAAAATGCTGAAATATTATACAGGGTAGGAGCATTGGTGTCTGTTCTCATTTCTCATGAAGCACGTGATTGCAATGTCATAATTATTTGATGGGTTTTGGGACCTAAATTTATTTAGTTGAGCTGTCCATATAACTCACAATGGTAGGAATGTATGGGCTCGATGTTGATCCCACACCTAGGAGACTTGCTTCGGCTTGCCCACATTCATGGTGTGCATCGATGGTCAAATCATATTCCATTGTGCTTAGAGTGCCTAAAGGTTGTCATATCTACACTCCCGTGTATGAGGTATATAATGAAAACGTACTGTGTGCGACATTCCGAAATTTCGCTCATTTGGGATTTATGAAATGAATTATTTTATGAATGTACTCGTAGCTAGTTCTCTCCCGAAACTGATTATTCCTGGGATACTAACCATTAGGGAAAGGCTAATTAGGGATTTAAATTCGTGCGACTAAAGAAAATTCGATCGTGAATTGATTTTCGACCATGAAATCGTCGAGGTGATATTTTGAGCCACTGTTGGCAGATCCAAGGATAGCTAGGGGTCAGTTCGCCACTGTCATAGTAATGGATCGCGGGTGATTCCGCCGGACCATGAAATGACTGGACGAATTATCCTGAACCTATACCGAACGATCGTACCCCTCGGATCTAATAATTGATCCTTGCGATTTTAATGACAATCGAAGTCGTCGCGACCCGAATAAACTTGCACGTGACCTGAATTATTGTCAGTCACGGGTCGAATATGCGAATTTCCCCAACAAGCTGCCCGTTAGTTTGAGAAACGCTCGAGTTGCGTTTAATAAAATTTAATTATTTAATTTAGCCCAAATCGGACATCGGAAAAATTTGGAAGTCACAACGGGACGTTAGGACGACGTTGCGGTTGTAACGTGCAATTTTGGATGTGCTCGAATCCTTCAGAAAAATTCGATTTCAACGAGAAACGGAGAAAGTGACCATTTTACCCTTGGGATTTATTAAAGGGTTAGTTTTAAAGGGCAAGGGCATTTTGGTAATTTTGCCCTAAAATTTGGAAAAGACAATTTTGCCCTTGGACTTTTTGAGAAATTACAAGATTACCCTTGGATATTTTGGGTGAGATTCGATCCGGGCCGTCGGTTTCAAGATAAGATCGAATCTGGACCGTCGGATAAAAAATGTGAGAGAGGGGTATTTTGGTAATTTGCTAAAAAGTGGATTTTTAAAAAGGGATAAGACCCTTTCTCTCTCCTCTCTCTCTCTCTCTCTCTCTCTCTCCCATTCGGCCTCCCCCCCCCTTCCACCGTGAGCCTCCCTCCGATCTCTCTCTCTCGCCGGACCGCCTCACCGCCTGGATCGCCGATCGCCGCCGAGCCATCATCGCCGGTCACCACCGCCGCGCCGCCGCCGATCCGTCGCCCCCACCCTCACGCCACCTCACCGCCGTTTCTCTCTCTCCCCTCTCTCGGCCGTGAGCCAATCGGCCACCGCCCAAGCCGCGCCGTCGCCGCCCAAGCTGATCGCCGCCCGCCGTGAGCCGTACACCATCGCCGCCGTTCCCGATTAAGTGCCGCCGCTTTCCGTTCTAGCCGCGTGAGTCTAGAACTCGGTAAGTCTCGCCTAAACCCGACTTAGGATATTGGGTATCGACGGATGATTTTGGTTGGAAATCGGGTTTAGTTGGGGTGCGGAATTGTATGGATTATGAGTAGAATCAATTGGCGGGCCTAGGATTGAATTCGGAAAATTTTTAATTGAGAAATTGAGAGCAGCAGTGGGCTGTGGATGACTGTTCATTGGGCTGTGATGGGCCGATCGGGACGCAAATTGGATTTTTAGAACCGGCAATTAATGGCGAGAAAGTCTCGTGAAGGATCGGAATCGATTTGATGTCATTTGGTTGGAGAAAAATGACAAATTGTGTGTTTAATGCGTGTTTAAACTATAATTGAGTTGTGGGGGTGTAATTGAGTGTGTGATTGTGCAATTGGCTGATTGAAATATGTCTGATGGGTGCACGCTTGGGCCAGATTGAATCAATTGTTCTATTGGCCATGTCAAATGTTTGATGAGTATGAATTGCGTGTAATTACTGCGTGCACGGGCCACGAGTGATTGGCCAATTAAATGTGGTAAATGCTTGTTGAGCATGTGCATGAGTAAGAAAGAATTGTGGTGCGACATGTGTTCGTGGAAAGTGTGCCGTCCTGAGGCGTGTACGTTTATGCGGGACGATGAACGGTATTACCAGACGACTGCCAGCCTGAGGCGTGTACTTCAACGCGGGTTGCGCAGTAGGTGGTAGGTGTTGAGCCTGAGGCATGTACTTCAACGCGGGCAAGAAACATGGCCTGAGGCGTGTACGTTTACGCGGGCCCGGAAGTGTTGTGAAAAGTTAGTCGCAGTGTGCTTGAGGCGTGTACTTCAACGTGGGTCACTGGCGAGGAATGTGGAAAAAGATATGATGAGAATGAAATGAATGCCTGAAATGAGAATTTGGCCTGCATGTGACTGCGTGTATGTGATTGTGTTTGTGTTGTTTAATTGTCTGGAGGTACGTGGTAGCCTAGGTGGGGTATAGGGGTGTACTTACTGAGATGTAGTCTCATGGTTGTTTCAACCAATATTTTTCAGAACCCTGACCTGAGCCATGAACCCACCGCCACCGCCACCACCACCAGAACGTTTTGGGGTACTAGTGCACACCGAGTTGGATGTTGCAGAATTTCCTATGGGTGATGGAATGATCTGGATTAGGCACACTACGACTGTTTTTGTAGAAGTAGGACTACCTCTTTGGGAACCCCACGTTTATACCGCTTGGTTCTTCCGGGATCAGGCAGGGGATGAGTTCGGGCCTGTTAGGGGTTTTGATGTCCCGTTTGATCTCGTTGGGGATTGGGACCCGGCTGCCATACCCCCGATAGATGGAGAATTGACCAGTACAGAGGTTAGCTTAGCGCAATCTGGGATGCATCCCGCACCCGCCGCGCAAGTATCTTCGGAGGCTGAGCATGAACCCGAGCCCGAAGCATCGCAGGATGAAGCTGAACCAATGGATATAGATTTAGAACCGATCCCCGAGGAAGAACCAGAGGAAGCGGAGCCGGAAGTAGAACCCGAGGTAGAGCCTAATGATGAGTCAGAGGAGTCGGAAGAGCCTGTGGGAGACCCGGAATATATACTCCCTTTTGAGCAATATATGGATCCCAACTTCGTGCCTGCATACAATTTCTTTGATTTTCTAGTTGAGGAGAATCAGAATGAAGTTCCAGCTGAGTCGGGCGACATCAATCACCCGATAGAGATTGAGGCAGAACCAGAGTCCTCAGATGAGCAAACTACTCAAGGGAGTTCGGATTCGGATGGCGAGAAATCGGATTTAGAATGGACACCGAGCAAAGGTCGACGAGGTTAGTATAGGGGTCAAGAGTAGGTTTCTGGAAGAGTACCATTTTTTAGGGTAGAATGCCAGGTCATCGGTCTTTTGATCTTGAGGGTTTTAGTACGGTGTGCACATGTATATTATGGTTTGTAAAAATTGTGAATATTATGGTATAAGTTTGAATGAGAAAAGAATATGTGCATATTCTCCCTGATTGTTTTCCCCAGTTTTAAATTGTCCGGGATTAATTGTGGTATCCGCTGTGGATGTAAATCTCTGATGATTAATTGAGGTCGGAGATATTCCTGGGATGTCGCATAAATCGACCAGTGACGGATGTCGCGAGCTCGATAGGGTTCGGGACGTGACACTGTGTCCTTTGAACCTAATTGATCTGTTGAAAACCATTAAGACTTGTGAAACGACAGGTTTGTTTGGTCACACTCAGAGTAAGGTCAATTGAATATCTGCAAAAAATAGTACTTTATGTACATTTCTCTCTTTATGTAGAGTAAGACGTCAATAACATATTTGTGATTCACAAGATGCTCAATTTAGCTTTACTTTATCTCTTTGCATTTAGCTTATATATTTGTTTGAAAACAGTACGTCATAATGTCGAGGTTGGTTTCAAGTTGCATATACTGGAAAATCGAAGTAACATTTCTAATTAGAGAATACGTGTTAAATGGAAGAATATGAAGATAAACAAGTTATGAAGTGGGGGAAAAACATGATGTCAAAGTGGTGAATACATAAACAAAATTAAAGAACAAAGAAAAGTTGTTGGCTTTGTACCGCATCATAGAAGTACCCATTTTTGTATCCTTTAATAGCCCATAATGTCTATATGCACAAAAATGCTGATTATTTAAATGCTCCCTCTTTCTCTCTTCAGGAAATAGTGGCATTACTGCTGCTCGATTGCCAACACAGTCACAAAGTCTCAATTCCCAAAATGCCTCTTGGAACCAATTTATTGACTGTATGGACCAAATAGAGCCTTCACCAGATAAAAATCTACAGACATTCGGACAAGTGTACGAGTCACCTTCAAGCTCCCCAGCTTTCGGTACGTTGAATTTTCTCCCTGTAATGTCGATTGCTTCGTGGTATGGTATTGTTTCATCCTGTCTTGTGGAAAAATTGAGAAGAAAGTTTGGGACTTCTATACTGAAAATATGCAGAATTGATTCGCCGTGATGATGAATGTGGTGTGGGTATGACTAGCTGGAACGAAGTAAAATGTGATCACCTCTATGGCTTTAATATTTTGGGTCATGATCCATTTTCATGGGACACATTCGTGTTTGTGTATAGAAGAGTAGGAATTGCACCAGCTCATTTCTCCTCATTAAGGAAAGCAGTTTTGTTTTTTTTTTTATATTCCTTCTTTTGCCGAGAAATGGAGAAAGAGCAGCCATAGAGAGAGTGACAATAAGAACCCAACAGTCTACAACTGTGGAATGGTGAAATTAGGGTTATAAACCAATCAAATAAGTTTAAGGAGATGGATTTTGTGATATTTGCTATGATCAGTTCATTTGGGAGCTAAACAAGTAAACGTGAAGCTGGTTCGAAGGAAACACTAAATCATTTGACATCTCAAATATGATATTCAACTCAATTTTGTCGTACTGATAACCTCTTCGTAGGGATTTGATAGGGTCTAGTCAATTTACAACTGTTGTGACTGCATGCAAAGAGAATTATGTAAGTGCTCTATAAGATATCAATTATGATTATCTCTCTGCAAAAGTTACATTATCTTGTTAATACGACTTATCTGATGATAAGGACTGATCGAAGTGTAATTATTGTGGTAAATTATGCATACTAACTTCTAGGGAAACCTGTAGTGGACATAGTGATGGCCTCATTAGTAGCGTGAGACTCAACAATGTTCAGCTATGGTTCCATGGAAATTAGCAAACATAGTGTTTGAAGTGTGGTCCCAATCTGATGTTACTGTGTTCTCTTTCAGACATTGAGGCTGATGGGATTGATTGGCTACTACGAGGTGAATGAGGGCTTGAATCATGTGGCTATTGACCAAGCGTTGCTTGCTCACGACAAACTTTTTGGATTCGACATTTAGGGCATTGACCGCAGAGACTTTTTATTTATCTCAATAATACGAGTTGAGTCATATTTATTTTATCAGAAGCTTGTGGGTTCATGATGAAACGATGGAATTTGCGAGCTTGAATCTTGTGAGTTCTATATTACAGCAAAACTATACAGTAAACATTCTTTCTCTTATCATCACCAAGTAGCAACTTTCAAACTCTTGATAAGGGTTTGGAAAGAGACTCGTAAAGCCAATAGGGTAGAGGATAGTTAGTGAAGGGAGCTGTTAAATTTTGAATAATTTTTGCGAACCACGCAAATTGAATACTATATTTGACAATTCAGAATCAAATAGCTAGTAATGTCCCACTAATATGTCTCTCTCTCTGTGCCATACTTTTAAGAAACACCTATTATATAGTACAACTTTAGGACATGGAATTGTAACTGAGTATAAAAATGCTGTACACATAAATCTATGATGTTACGACGCTTCGCCCGTAATCAAATTTAGATTGTCTAATTGTACGGTGGGTGAAAGAGCCAGAAATCTAGCTTATGGGGAGTGAAATTACCCGCTCGTTTGAGTTTAACCTTTAAAAATGTTGTACGTTGGGTATTTTGTTCTCCAGGAGGCGACATCCCTTGCTTGTTCCTCCTTAACTCAATTTCCGTGACGGTAGAACATCGTACCTCAGATATTTGCTAAGACCAACTATTTTCATGCGTGCATGGTGAGGAAACCCTAATTTTTGAAACCCTAAATTGCAAAAAATAATGAAAGTACTAATTTCCTAATCGACTTTATATAACCCATTGATTTTGAAGTAACTCCCCTCTTGGTTCGATCGAAGTCGATTCTGTTTAAAGTTCTCCAACAATCTTAATCTCATTAAGTGCTCAACTTATAAATTTTTAGTAGCTAACTGGGTTATCAAACCGGTCCCATGTACAACTTTTGCCTTTGAAAAATCCTTCGAGTCTGATCATCCGCCGACACGTAATCGATCCCGTCCGATCCAGAAGGCCTGTAAGACGTTACAATTTCCGGGTTCAACCAAATCATTTTTGTAGTGGTAGGTAGCAGTAGACCCATAGTTACTGAGCAATATAATGTCTGAAAACTACCTAACATGCTGGTTTTTTGGGCTCGCCCCGCGCGGGGCGTGGCCGTGACATCATACGAACCGGAACCATGAAGAATTTTCCAGGAAAATTGACAGGACCTGATTTTCGCGGAAAATTCCCCTTGTCCGTCACGCCGCTGCATGTACGTCGTTCTCTTCCTTTCTCTCTCTCTTTCAACAGCAACAACGACGGCAACAACCACCATCCAAACTGGCGAGGAGACTCGAGTCAGCTAGAGAAGTTCGACGGCCACGACAGAGACAGAAAGAGACCGGCGGATGGAGGAGATGCCGGAAGAAAGGCAACCAGAGACGACATATAATATGTGATAAACTGAATTGCGATCGAAGGTTCCGTCAATATGCCAAGGTCGCCGTGGGTGTTGATTAAAAAAAGGCGAATCGAGTGGACCCCGACTTCGACCGCATGTGCAGACGCATTCGTCATCTTCTTTTTTCTTTGTACAATTTCCATATCCAATTGAAGTTGGTTCTCTCCATGAACTAAGAAGACAACTTTTCCAAGTTACTGTCGATGGACCTTTTCCAGGGCAATTCCATCTGGTCACGATTAATTTCCTAATTCTCAGGAAAGTTTTAGTCAAATGGAAATTTTTTTGTTGATATTCGTTGTCCAGGATGGAGCATGGAGCACCCTCATCCGCGTCCTATCCACGTCTTTTATTACTGGTGACCGATTAAGTAAAATCCTCTTTTAATATTATGTGCATTGAAAGGTGTACGATATATAAACAAATGAATGTATGCTTACAAGCGTGTCGAAAAGTGATGATAACAGAATCGTAAAATAATGTTATCGTGATTTGTCATCAATTATATTATAAACAAAAAAAAATTACGTAACAAATCAAGCAACGATAATCTTTTTATTGTCATCGTCAATTTAATGAAGAGCCAAATTAATTAGCCTACAACATTCCTCGAATGTACATAAATTTTCTCAATAAACAACTATAACGCACATTTATGGTTATTATTTGCAAGCAGCAGTCAAGAAGAGATCAAATCGAAATTTTTGTCAATTTTTAGAATCTGAGAAAAGAAAAAAACCGGATGCAATTCCCGGAAATGGACCTTGCCTACACCAGACCCGACATTATAGAACACCCTCCCATGATTACGTACTCATTGCTTTCGAGTTTGAGCTTGAGCTTGAGCTTCAGTTCGTGCATTAACTGTTCATCGTCTCCTTCATTTTCTCTGCTACATTTGTTCCCGTTTGTTCGGGGACCAAATCCTTCCAACTTCTTGATAAGCTCCACAAATGAAAAGAAAATCATGTCGATGCGAAAGAGAGCTTTGGCTTCCACTTCTTCAGGTCAACCAAGTCAACTCAAGAGGCCGTGCATCGCTCCAAAGAGGTAAGTTCACTCTTCCCTCTCCACGTTTCGATGCTTCATCGATTGTTTGATGGTGGTGTTGGTTTTAGCTTTACTTGAGGGATACTCAATGAAGAATTCTTGAGTTGAAGATTCTTGGAATGAGAAAATTAGGCAAAGCCTGCGTTGAAGTATAAGACTGATTAGCTTTTGCCTGGTGACGGTTCTAAATCGCTTTCGTTCAGTTTTTTGTTCGTGGGTTTGTGCTGTGGCTTAGATACGAAGCATTAAAGACCTCCAATGTTGCCCGTCTCGAATCTGTTATGCGATTTCGGCGCGGGCCAATCGCAGTATTTCCTTTTTATTCGAATTAAATTCTGTTGGAAACTTTTACCTAGCCTGTGAGCTGTTATTGTTACTGGGTTACTTTGCTGTCCTGTTCGCTAAATTGTCCTATCTTGATTGTACTTATGTGGTGATCTTCACACAGTCGAGTATGGCACCAGTCCATGAGGAATCTCAGGTTGATGGAGAAGGTTGTCCGCAGAGTGGTAAGTTGAGTAAAGTAGCCAACTTGGACATACAAAGTACAGTCTTTATCGTACTCCAATTGCTGATCTCTTTGATTAAAAGCGGTTGGATGCATTTCCTGTGAAGCGTTTCCACTAATAACATGATTTAAGCTTTTCATGTTGTTTTTTTTTTGGTAAGGAGCTTTTCATGTTGTTTCGGACTGTATGGATCACAAAAAAGATCCAGATTTTCAATGAAGTGGCTTGGACATAATTTTTTCCCTGAATCTTGGAAAATGTGGTCAACGACAACTTGCATGTCAAAGGAGGACAATGAGAGTAACTGTGACGTGAAACTTGAATGAGATGAATACATGACAGATTGCAATGTAATTCTTCGCTATTGCTCTTTGCTGGACAGGTCAGGGAAGAGTGGGAGCGTGCTAAACCTGATTTGGCCGAATACTTTCAAAGGTGAATATATTTTATTTGGTTTGTTGCTAAATCTTCATCAACTGATTCTTCTAGGAGAATTTCCATGTGTATTGTCTCGCCAACTAGAAATATCATCGAGTATCATAAGTCATCAATCCACGATTCTGTTCAGCAAAGTGTAATACCTGCACATACATTTCTTTGTCAATCACTGAAAAGATGGTGCACTTGGAGATAGCTGCTAATTAACTTTACTTGCTTCTGCTATCAATGTACTGGATAAATATGTATTCCAGCTTTACGTTGACTTTTCTCTGTTTCCGTCGATTAAGGGAATGCATCTGATGAGTCTGGTAATTAGGTCTGACATTCTTATGTACTAGTAACTAAGGTGTTACATATAGATATTTGTCTATTTGTTACGAATAAGTCCACAAGACATCATTTGTTCCCGGTGTCAATTTCCATGGTGTAGTTCCATGGAGAATGCTCTCAAAGAGATGATGCAACGGATAAGCTCAACCAAGAATGCTGTTCCGAAAAAGGTAAGATAAACAGAGTTTATAAAATTTCCAAATTTCGACTGTTTGAACAGCATTCATTGAGCATGAACTTTGCACATCTTTTTTTATAAGTAAATTTTCATTTTATTGGACAACCTGTGGAAGAAAAACAAGGGAGGTCACATCCCATACAAGTCCATTGCACATATACAGCCGAGGCATGGTGCCAAACCTTCCCGTAGATGTGAACTCTGAGGGAAGATTAGTCTGCTATCCCTAAAGTAACATTTATCTGGTCCTTCTAGTCAGCACCGTCGGATCACTAAGGGAAACTTTCATCCCTGCTCGACATAAAGGATGGGAGATCCTTTTGAGCAACCTATTATAATAGGAAAGCCTGATAACTTGAGATCAATTCATGAAGTTGACTTTCAATCTGATGACACCACACACCAAATGACAACATGACATCATAGTCTTCCCCAACTACACTACCAGTAGCAACAGCAAAATACTACCCAGGAAAACAAGATGCAAACTCAAAAACCATGCCACCAGATTGCAGCAAAGTTAGCCAACAAGAACTCGCCAATTTGTCCACAAATACTTAACATCAGCAGTGTCTTATTTCCTTCCTGAATGGTAGCTTCTGAAGAGACTTTTACAGGAAAAAAAAAAAAACTGCATCAAGGTCACGACAAACTTGAGGGGATACATTTTCATGCTTCACTAAGTTCCTCTCTCTCCAGAGATAATAAATGGTTGCATTCCAAGTAAATTCATCCTTCCAATCACTTGCAGGTCTAGGAATTGAGAGTAGCTATAAACTTGTTCCCAAAATCTGCTTTGAGAATACACACTAGAGAGCAAGTGCATTCGAGATTCTTCAAGTTGTCCGCATAGCACACAAGTGCTATCAATGTCAGACCAAGTTTTCACCCTATCCAATGTGTGCAACCTACTGTGAATGACTAGCCAAGTTATAAAGCCAAATTTGGCACATTAAGCTTAAACAATACAAGCTTAAGCCAAGTAACTTTGTTCATACATTTCCTTATGAGCTTCCAAGCCTCCTTTACAGAGAAAGAGCCCCCAGATGATCCAGTAAATACCACTCTGTCTATGGAGCCAGAGTTTGGAGCAATTAACCCACACAAAGCCATCTAATTTTCAAGCAGATCATCAGAACTTGCAGGAGGCCATCTCCAGTCATTTGCCTCATTAACATCCACAACTCTGGCTTTATCACCTAAAGCTGAATCATAACCATTCCAAAACACACGTAACATTTTACATTGACATGGAATGAAAATGAATAATAAAAATGCTTAGAATTGTTCATATAAGCTATATATACAACTGCTGTTTGGTAAACACTGATTTGAAATGTGCCTGAAGAACTTAGTCTCAATAAGGTGTTTGATAAGTTGTTTTTAAGAAGGAAGTTTTCAACTCCTTTTGATGGAATGGATTGGTTTTTTTTCCCTTCTGCTTCATTTTTTTTTATGTTTCCAACTTTGGCAACTCTTCTCTTGGTGGTTTTGAACAGAGGGAAACAGCGGATCTTGCAAATAATCGCTCTCCCCACCTTGGATGGTACAAAAACACTTCCCCTGTGATGCTGGCTTTCTGTGTAGTATTGACCAGTTATGCATTGTTGATTTTTTGGGCAATAATGGTCCGACTTTACCACTAGCACACCAAAGCAGGCAGCCAGAGCTCAGTGAAAGTTACGCCAGAATGACTAGGTCATGCGCCAAATTGTCAATTCCCCAATTTAGAACATAATCATATGTAGCTTGAGAGCAGTGCGGCATTTTATTTTGTTTTGTTTTATTTTTAAAAAAAATTGCATTGTTATACTCTCTGAGACAATGCATCTATTTATCCTTGTAGTTTCCCTGGCAGTAAGACTTGTCCAAGTGAGATGTTTGGTAGTTTGTCTCTCTGTGTCATTACTTTTCCAATTTATCACTTCTATACCTGTTGCTCTTTCTAATGGTTATTTTCCCCGGAGAATGCAGGGCTAATGCTAAATCTATGGGAAAGAATGATGTGGGAAACTTACGGCTTCAAATTCAAACCAAACTGTCAGATCTTATATTTACTGGAAAGAAACTAGAAGGAGAGGGGGGTGCTCACATTTCCTTTGCCTTGATCAATGCAAATACAGGGGATGTTGTTAGATCAGGCCTGGAATCCTCCATTAAGTTGGACATCGTCGTGCTTGAAGGTGACTTCAACAATGATGATGAGGACAACTGGGCTCAAGAAGAGTTTGAGAACTACGTGGTTAAAGAACGTGAACGAAAGGGGCTGCTTTTGACAGGAGATCTCCAATTGACGCTCAAGGGAGGTGTTGGGGAGCTGGGAGAACTGATATTTATGGATAATTCCAGCTGGAATAGGAGTAAAAGGTTCAGGATAGGGCTTAAGGTGGCATCAGGTTATAGTGGGAATACACGAATCCGGGAAGCAAAAACAGATGCCTTTCGGGTCAAGGAACATAGAGGAGAATGTAAGTCTTTCATAGTTCTTTACAGTACATAAACCGTGTCCTTCGTTTATGACTGACAATAAACATTGTTTCGGACATCGTGTCTCCAATATTTTAATTGAGAGCTTCATTTCATATGAACCTTTACATCTCCAACGAAAATTCTGATAAATAAAATATGATCGGCTTCTTTGTTATTAGCAAATGTTGACACTTTGGATCAGTTTCAGGAGAGAGTCTGCACAACTATCAGAAGCCATTCATTAAATTAATAGGGACTAGGACCTTACTGTATATGTCCTCTTCATTTTACAGCAAACAAGAAACATTATCCACCTGCATTTGATGATGAGGTCTGGAGGTTGGAGAAGATTGCCAAAGATGGGAAATCTCACCAAAAATTAATGGAAGCTGGAATACATAAAGTGGAGGACTTTCTACAGAAACTGTTTACAGACTCCAAGAAACTGAGACAGGTAAGCACTTAGTTAATGATTCTCAATTATGGTTTGATTGACTACCAAGAACGTAAGTCTTGTGTGTTCACTCATCATAGGTTCTTGGAAAGAGCATAACACCAAAGAACTGGGAATCCCTCGTCGATCATGCAAAGACTAGCGCAAAATGGAAAACTTATTTGGACGATCCTAATGGCATGAGGAAGCATGATGCTGTATTCAACACTGATCATCAACTGACCGGCCTAATCGAAGACATGGTATATTTTGCTCCTGACCGACTTTCTGCCCAAGAGAAGGTAAGTAACTAAGGAGTTCCTACTGAGTTTTGTCAAGCCAGTCCATGCGCTACACACCGTCATGCTGAGTTCATATAATATGTCACATATTATCTATGTAATCAGTAATTTGATGTTTACTCGTAGCTGTGCGGCTTAATAGGTGTTAGAATTGATCAGAGGTATGGAAACTTGAAAGGGGTGGTTGGTTGGACATCTAGATGCTTTGTTTTTTTACTTGTCAGTAAAAGCAATATGAAGTGCATGTGGAGAGAACAAAAATAAAATCTAGATGCTAGTGATTTTGAGCTTTCGCTCTTTGCAATGCAAAGTTGAGGATGGTGATCTTGTAAATCTAAGTGGCCTTCTGTAGAGAGCACTTTCAGCCGTTTATTTGCTGTCATCCTTGACAATTAGCACATTCACGATGCAACTATGACTTTTCAAGTCTAAAACTATGAAGATCTTAATTACTTGCACAATACAAGTTGATGCATGTTTTATTTCTCAACTGGTCCTTTCTCAATCAACTTTGCATCTTCACCCTGAGGACCCTTGGCTTGATTGTACTCTCCATTACATCTTTCGAGCACCTGACTTTTATGTGGTGGAGAATGGATGGCGATAGGCCTCAAGTGAATTGAGGTTCTTTCAATGTTATTCTTTATTCTTCTTTCTCTGTGCTGCACTTACATGCTTACTCTGAGTACAAGTTCATCCATTGGAATGCAATATTACTTGCTGAAAAAAGAAATTGTTGCTTGAAGTCAGAGTGTGTACCTTCAATATTGGAGATAATTACTTCCATTAGTCCAGCTAGTGTGATATACTGAGTGTTTTTCTTCCAGGAACCTGGAGATACAATTGTAGAAAAGGCGGCCTTTAATAATTGGAATGATGTTAGGGAGTTCAATGGTCAGACCTATTCTGCTTCAGTGCAGAAGAATAGCTATCAAGTTATTGAAGGACAAATTGGAAATCCCGTCCCTGTTCAATGTTATTTGGCTCCACGAACCTGTGCCGCTCCAGTTGGTCCGGAAGCTCCGCCGGCAAATGCGGGCTCCACTGTTGAAGGTACGTGCTCTAAAACACAAAACCATCTCTCCCTTTAAGCAGATACAAAGAGGTGGCCAGTGAAATAACGATGATAATAGGACTTTTCACTTGATTGTTGAGCTTTGATAAATAAAAGCAATGTGTTCCAGATCCTTATGATTTTTGGGTTCCACATAATATGAAGAATTTTTATTTGTTAAGCTACCCTTCAATTGAACTTGCATCCAAGGAGATTTGACCAATTTTTGCCCCCTTTTTGGCACGGACTCGTAAGTTATATCCAGAGGATTCCCATTTGTAATGTGTCTGTAGAAGCAACAAAAAATGCTCAGAAATAGTCTTAACTGATGATGAACAAGCAAGAGGAGTAGGTTGTTGCAGGTCACTACCAAAAGTAGTAATATAATAGATTATCAGTACAAAGGCGAAAAAGCAATAATCTAGTACTTCATTTTATCAGGGTTCAATTTAAGAGATGCAACTTCAACTTGGACATCAAGGATTTAAGAGTAGAAAGATCAAAATAACCTCTAAGGACATGCAATGTGGAGAACAGTCAATCTCCAATGCTAATTATACACAAATAGATATATTCTGTAAGCTGTGATTTGTTGCAAAATGAGCCTCATTCAAATCACTCTATCCATTTGGCCACATATGAATGTACGTATGTATGGCCAAATGGACAGAGTGGCAACTAATTAGTTGTTGACATTTGCCTTTTTGACTGGGGGATTGGGGAAGGGGAGGGCAGATATTCATGAACACCTTGACTTAGGTGATGCAAAGTGGATATTGACAAGATATTGCCATCGCTAGGTAGATATGAACAGATGTAATAAGCACACGGGAACGTGCTTATATGTGCATTTTTATCAAATGGTGACTGAAAATCATATGAGAAAATAAGGTTGGCTGGTTAAAATTATGTGCCAGAAATTGAGATAACGAAATGTTCAATCTGTGAAGGGAAAGGGCCTTGTCAATTGAAGCACTTAAAAGATTACAAAGACCAGCGGCAAGAAAGATTTAAAGAGATGTGCAGCACTTTCCGTGATATCAGAATAGTAGAAGCCCATAACCAGTTCATTCCAAAAAATTTTAGATCGTAGACCTGTACTCACATGGGCATATTTGTATTAATGATATTAATGTTCTAGTTCTTTCTTCAGGACATAATGGTGTAACTGGTGATTTGGCATGGCCAGTACAGTCACAAAACACCAATTGTGGGGATGCTGTGGAGTTTCCAGTTGATGACAGTGTTCCTCTCTTTGCACCATCGCCCGTATCTGCAGACCGCTTGAATGGTGTACTTTCTCCGGGAGATGATGGTATTGCTACTTTCGGATTGCCAATACAGTCCCCTGATATCGTTTCACGGTATGCCATGCGTAGCCAAATGGACTATACAGTAAATGAGGATGTTGTCCCCCCTGAGCCACCCTATGCCCCAACGTCAAGCCACCAATGGAGTGGCACATTCGCTCCTTTTCCTGAAGGCAATCACGTGATGGGAGACTTCCAATTCAACGGTGCAGATGATTGGGTGGACTACTTGTTGGCAAGCCTAGAAGAAGATGACGACACGTCCTTGCAGACCCCGCCATGGGGCGACGGTTATGTTTGGGGCCAGCAAAGGTGTTGAATGGCCGGGCTCAAGATAAAAGGCAGTGGTGCAGTGGGGTTTCTTCGTCAGGAAGAGAGGGGTCGGAATTCCGCAACGAGAAAATATTACGTGAGTTTAATACTCCACGTAAACAATGCAGCAAACCATTCATAGGTCGACACGTGGCGAGCCAGGCCCACCAATCAGATTTCTGAAAAATCTCCGACTCCCCCGTCTCTCTGCTCCGTTAACGCCGTTACTGCCCTCCTTCTTTCACTCTTCGTCACGATGTCTCTCTCTCCCACGAGAAAATATTCAGTGGTTGCTGCTCACCACGTCACCGGCCCACATGGCATATATGAGCTTAGTTGGCTCCACTCGGAGAGTGACACATGTCGTCTGACATGGACATGGAAAGAAAATAAAAAATTAAAATCCAAAGCTTTCTCCTTCTTTTCCCTAGCCGGCTAGTAGACTGCAGAGTGGGTGAAAAAGGACACAACAATAAATGATAACCCGCTTAAAACTCCCTCTCTTCTTTTCAATTTTCAGGAGCTTCTACCTGCTATACCTTCTCTCTCCTTTTACGTTTCTAAAACTCTCTCCCTTTTTTTCTTTTCAAGAGCTTCTTCACCCGCTCTTTCTCCTCTTTTGCGTTTTCGTTTTACCTTTGAAAGATGCAGATGTGCTCTTTCACGCTTCCAATCACTCAGTACTTCGAGTGCTCCAAACAAGCTGGCTTGGTCTGCTCTTACTGCTCTTCTTCTTCTTCTTCTTCTTCCGGGGAGTGTGGTCGTCCGCAGCCACATGTCATTTTCTGGTTTGTCTGAAGAGAGACATCAACGTCGTCGTCGTCATCCTAGTGCTGCTCCTCTTGGTGTTCCTCCTCTACAAAATTTCCCGACCTCTTTCGCACCACCAAGGGGTTCAGTGTCTCTCTCTCGCTCCCTAGTTAATCGCCTCCAATTTATACGGTTGATCTATTTACGAAGACTGTGGCTTTGATGAATGCCTTGACACCTTCCTTCTCGCATTGGTTCAGAAGAAGACGCTGGGATTCATCTCAAGATGTCTGTTCCAGCTTGCTCAGCTAAGCTCATCGTCCCCAGTGCTAGTGATAACTCAAGAACGTTCACACTTATAGTTTCTTTTATTATGGTATTGTTTTTTGCCGAAAAGTTGTGGACAGAATTGATATATACATCGAGTATAGATTGAGGACGCAGAAGTACATTTCTGGATTCCAAGATGGCTACACTCCAGCCATGTGGTCATTCTTAATGTACTCATTTAGGAGCTTTACAATTGGATGATAGCGATGGATAATTTGAAATTTAGTAATTGAGGAAACAAAGAGATCGAAATAGTCGAGTTGAATAGCCTAACGAGTAGACTTCATTTTGCTACTGTCGACACTCGAGCATGGAACAGTTCGAACTGGTTTCAGGTCAAATTGAAATTGTCAATCTGGTTTGGTTCAACTAGGGAGAACTTTCCCAAGTTAGATTTCTGAACTTGAATGGGATCAAACTTCGAAGCAGGACGACTTGTTATTGTAGTTGCAGGTAGTTTGATTCGAACAGCAATTCCTTCTCTTCCAACTTATGCAGCAACTCATGAGCTTCACTTTGGTTACAAGCCCATATTTGCACTGCACCGTCCGTTCATACATCCACTCGTGCAACTATTGCATCCAAAGAAAACGATAATTTCTCATAGCAGTTTTGGATGTTGACACAATGCCCGTGACATTGAGTAAGATGTCGAACATCACGATATCAAAGATGTCAATTCTCATGTTTGATGCATCCCAAAAATGCCAACGCATTCCAAGCTGCTGATGACCTTTCGTGAAGGCCATTGCGAGAAAAGTAAACTAGCAACCACCGATCATAAGCTATCATGTCACGAGAATAGATTCACTACAGCTAGAAGTCCGATGTTGTGAAAACAACCGATGTAGTGCTTTCCTGGGAAAAACAAAACTCTGGGACGCTCTATGACCTTGTGGTATCCGTTATATTTGCGACGAAATTAGGCTCCCATTACACATCTGCCATTGTTAATGCTTCTGCGATCATTCTTTTGCAAAATCAATCCCCCAGGTAAAGAAACGAAAGAAATATTACATTGAAGAACATAAAGTCTTTTATTTTGTAAAGTCAATTAAGGGTAAACTCCCATTATCAAATTGATAGTCTAACCATAGTCACCAAGTCAAGTGCCTCCTCATTTCAATCTTTTTTAGTATGTCAAGTGCGATTGATAATCGAGTAAGTAAATGTCGTTTACCATGTAAAATGAAAACACTCTAAGTACCGAGTGATCGGGAGCTTGTTTGTGTAATCCCAGTTCCCAAACGCCAAAATCTGTCACACTCCTTTTGTGATTATTCTCCTTAGTTGTTGCACCGAACACAACAGAAAAGAAACTTTAGACCCAAAAAAAGAAAAAAACACAGAACTTGGTGACAAAGAGACAGATAACACGAGTCAAATGACGGAAACTCATTTCTATACCACACACCCCAGCACAAGAAGCCAAGAAGAGAGAGGGGAAGATAGAGTGTGAGAACAGAGAAAAAAAAATGAGTCGATCTTTCTGTTTCTTATTGACAGTCTTGTTGATCTTGTTGCGAGCCAGTTACTCGTAGCGCTATTCCTTTGACGGTTCTGTGGAGTCACCGTTGCACGTTCTAGATTGCTTTCTTGGCTCCTTGACATGCGCAAGTCACTTTTCCCTCACTCTTACCTGCTATAGAGACGGATCCCGTTATAACAATTTTTACATTGACAAAAGAAAATCAACACTGGCACACCATTGGTAAGGTTACTGATATCTTCGTAACATGACCTATGCTTGAATATTACAACAAAATTGAAGGCAACCCAACCTTTCGAGGAGGAACACCAAGAGGAGCAGCACTAGGATGACGATGACGACGTTGATGTCTCTCTTCAGACAAACCAGAAATGACATGTGGCTGCGGACGACCACACTCCCCGGAAGAAGAAGAAGAGTAGTAAGAGCGGACCAGCTTGTTTGGAGCACTCGAAGTACTGAGTGATCGGAAGCGTGAAAGAGCACCTCTGCATCTTTCAATGGTAAAATGAAAACGCAAAAGAGGAGAGAGAGCAGGTGAAGAAGCTCTTGAAAAGAAAAGAAAAGAAGGGAGAGAGTCTTAGAAACGTAAAAGGCGAGAGAGAAGGTATAGAAGGTACAAGCTCCTGAAAATTGAAAAGAAGAGAGGGAGTTTTACGCGGGTTATCATTTATTGTTCTGTCCTTTTTCACCCACTCTGCAGTCCACTAGTCGGCTAGGGAAAAGAAGGAGAAAGCTTTGGATTTTAATTTTTTATTTTCTTTCCATGTCCATGTCAGACGACATGTGTCACTCTCTGAGTGGAGCCAACTAAGTTCATATATGCCATGTGGGCCGGTGACGTGGTGAGCAGCAACCACTGAATATTTTCTCCTCTCCCACCGAGAGTGCCCTTGCTCAGCAAGCTGCACGTCTGGGAGAAGTTGATGGCGGGTTTCTCTGGCGACCTAGACAGGTTTTGCTCGGCGAGCCTACCGAAATCCGAGAGCTCCGACTAGGTCGTGGACGACATCTCTTATCCTACCAATATCCCCACAAGAAACCCAGGACAGCACGCTGACTCCGAACGGAAAAACCCAGTATGGAGGAGGAGAGCGAGTTGAGAAAAGCCGTGTTCTTTGGGGGCGTTTACTTAAAAATGGGTTTTGAATTCTTTTTTTCAATTCGACGGAACTGATCTTTTACACAAGCCATCTTCTTCGTTTTCTTGTTCTATGGTCATGCGCCTTTCCACCCCTGCAAAAATTTTCATTCTCGCCACATTCACGTTAATTGCGTCTTGTGCAGTGGAGGGTTGCTTGTGAATGTTGGTGCTGATGAGTAGTTTTGATTAATGTGATATGATAATTTCTCTTGGGGTTTAATTATTCAGCACCCCTCTCTGACAAACACACGCGATTTGAATTTGCCTTCCGCCGGTTGCCTCCCGGAGGCACCATCGGTGGCTCCGATCCCGACCACGCCGCCGCCTCCGCCTATGCCGTCGCCTCCCGAAGCCCCATTGGCTCTGCCTTTCCTCCGCGAAGGAGCCCCTCTAGCTGTCAACCACACCGCCGCGTCCGACTCCGATCCCGACCACGGCGGAGGCAACAAGTGGAGGCGGCGGCGTGGTTGACGACTAGAGGGGCTCCTTTGCGGAGGAAAGATAGAGTAGGGCGGAGAGTGAGCGAGCAGTTTAGTTTAGCCGTGTGGAGACAAGTTTTCTCGGGAGGAAGGGAGAGAGAGACGTCGTGATGAAGAGTGAAAGAAGGAGAGCAGTAATGGCGTTAACGCAGCAGGGAAGACGGGAGAGTCAGAGACTTTTCAGAAATCTGACCGGTGGGCCCGCTTCGCCAGGTGTCGACCTATGGATGGTTTGCTGCATTGCCTACGTAGAGTATTAAACTCACTTAATATTTCCCCGCCCCGATTGAAGCCTGGCTTTCAGAAAACACCCCCACCCAACCCCAAAAAAATATAAAAAAAATTTAAAAATCAAGAAAATCAAAAGATTCAAAACATCAAAAAATCAAAAAAATCGAAAAATTTTAAAAAATCGAAAAATAAAAAATTTAAAAATAAAAATTTAAAAAAATAAAAATCAAGAAATAAAAAAATCAAAACATCAAAAAATTAAAAATATCCAAAAATCAAAAAAATTTAAAAAAATCAAAAAATTAAAAAAATTAAAAATATCGAAAATTTAAAAAAAATCAAAAAATCAAAAAATCAAAACATCAAAAAATGAAAACAATCAAAAATTAAAAATCAAAAAAATCAAAAAATTAAAAAAATCAAAATTTTTTTAAAAAATAAAAATTAAAAAAATTTAAAATAAAATAATAAAAAAAAACAAAAATCAAGAAAATTAAAAGAACCAAAAAACCAAAAATTTTTTAAAAAAATTGAAGTCCAGGCTTGATTTGATCGTTCTTACTGTCGCATTGGGCAAGAGGATTCTTGGATTTCTACTGTCCGATAGAATCGATGGCAATTTTTTCCTTAGATGAAGGCATACTAGTTACTTATCTATTGGACCCTGTCATTGTTGATAATTTTATTCATTTGTGTATTGAACAGCTTCGTTTAACGCTTTGTTAAGCTGACCGATCCTTCCATCGGAAATTGTTTCTCCACTTCAGTTCTCTTAACATCCTTCTGCAAATGTTCTCTGGTTTTTTTCACACGTAAGGAATGCAAGGTATATCAATTCAAAGAGGGCACTTGGATTCTATCGCGTCCATGTCCACTGAGTCTTATCTACTTGATCATGTCCATCGACTGCTATGTGCCAAGTCTTGCCTGTTTGCTGCTATCCGCAGGCAATGAAGCTATTCTAGAGAACATAGCACTGTTAATGTTTTTTTTTTTTTTTGGGTCGAAATAGCACTGTTAAATTATGATGCTAAGGCTGCGCATGGCAACTTGCCAAATAGTGTTTGATTCTGTTCTTTTGTTCCCAGAATCAGTTTGGGAATAGAAATCCGTTTGATTAATTTTTTGATTCTGAGCACAAATTCTTGCAAATTTGTGCCTAGAATCAGTTTTGGAGTAGAATCAAGAATAAAAAAAAGTAGCTTCTTGATTCTAAGAACAAAAATGAGAATCAATTTTTTTTTTCTTCTTTTTCTTGGTTTTTAATATAGCTTTTAATGTCCGGCGCGAGGGCCACCCTCGCCGTATCTGGCGAGATCAAAATATTTTAATAAAAAATATTATTAATAAAAATATTTTACTGGCCATGGCGAAAAAATAAAAAAAAATTATTAATAAAATTTTTTTTACCGGCCATGACCAGCGACCAGGCCATGGCGAAAAAAATAAAAAAAATATTTTCAATAAAAATATTATGAATAAAAAAAAATTATTTATAAAAAAATATTTTACAGGCCATGGCCAGCGACCAGGCCATGGCAAAAAAAAAATAAAAAAAATAATTTCAATAAAAATATTTTTTTATTAAAATATTATTAATAAAAAAAATATTTATAAAAAAATATTTTACCGGCCATGGCCAGAGACCAGGCCATGGCGAAAAAAAAATAAAAAAATATTTTCAATAAAATATTTTTTAGTAAATTTTTTTTAAAAAAATTATTTATAAGAAAATTTTTTACCGGCCAAGGCCAAAAAAAAATTTAAAAAAATATTTTTAATAAAAGTATTATTAATTAAAAAATATTTTACCGGCTATGGCTAAGAAGGAGGAGAAGAAAAAAAGAAAAGAAAGAAATATTAAAATATTTAAAATGTTATTAAATATTATTAATAAAAAGAAATTTTATGCTGTTACCAAACGCATTTCTGTTCTTTTATTATTTCAGGAATAGAAATTTTGAGCCGTTACCAAACGCCTTCAAATGCTCAAAATCAGTTCCCGAGCACAAAATAAAAAATAATCATTTCTGATCAGAATTTGTTCCCGGGCACAGAATGGTTGTTATGCGCAGCCTAAGTTCCCTCGATATTCTGCGTTCATCCAGACTGTTAGTTTGCTGATGAAGTTGAGTTACAAACTAGTAACTATCGACAAAAGTAGCAGAAGTAAATTTTACAAGAAGACTGATCAAAATTGTAGGTATGTAGGGCTAAATGCTCTCGAGGGGTCCATGTATGGTGCAACATTGTACCATAGAAATTTCCTCTTGTGGCATGCAAAATGGCTACCATAAGCTTTATCCTTCATTTATCACAGGTGAACTAGTTTGTGATTTTTCGTGGTATTAATCCAATTTAACAGAGGGTAAAATTTGTCACAAGTATATCGGTTTGGGGTTTTTGGTGATCAAAAAATTAGTTTGGGATAAATTTATCACATGTGTACCAGTTTGAGATTTTTGGTAGTCAAAAAATTAATTTGAGATAAATTTGTCACAGATGTACCGATTTAGGGTTTTTTGTGGTATTAATCCAAAAAAACAAAATCCAATGACGGTTCCATAGCATATAATATTTGGTATGACATCCCATAGAGTTGCCTCTAGAAAATTTTGTAAATTAGGCGAAATGCATACTACTATGACAATTCAGAATCAAACAGTTATAGATACCCCACTAGTATCTCTCTCCATGCCACACATCGACCGTACACCCATTGTGCAGTACAACCTTACAACCTGGAGTCTGTAACTAAAGTGTAAGAATGTTGTACACATACTAAATGCAGCCATAGATCTATGATGTTGCGACATTTTGCCCGTAATCAAATTTAAAGTTATATATTTGTGCGGTTGGTGAAGGAGCCAGGAGTCTGGCTTATGGGGAGCGAGATTTCCAGCGCCTTTGACTCTGACGTTTCATTTGTATGCATGAAACAATTGAGCAATAGAAAGCATTCTCCAAAACTCTTCTCTCTAAATTTCTCTCTCTATGATTTGGGCGAGCAAGCGATTGATCTTTGAAACGATCCAGAAAGCCTAACTTGGCCCATGACACATGCATGATTAGATGCGATTAAATTAATTTATCAGTCATTTGTTCAAAGCCGCACACAGATGATAATTGATATTCGAGCATGTTACATGTCAATCGGGAGTCCAGCTCAAAAGGATTTAGCTTAAACTTGCGTTGAAGGCTAAAAATAACTCATTTATTAGGAACATGCACAAATTCAATGTTTTCTGCTAATGTAACCTGAAGTTTCTCGGAAAGTTACATGTCTCCCACTTCGCACCTCTCCCCCTTCAAAACCCAACACCTATGTATATACTCCGATCATTTTTGGCCAAGGCACATGTGAACCACCCCACTACTTCTTCGTCCATATACTCCGATCTCATACTTGTTCTCCTTCTTCTTTCATATATATATTAAACTGCTGATCGAGTGAAAGAGACAAAACAAGCATAGGAGCGAATCTTAAACCTACTCCAAGATCTCGCAAGACAGGCCGTTCTAAGAGGAAGCGTTTGATCCATCCGACAAGTAATCTCTTCGTTTTCCCACTATTTTTGCTGCTGCGATTTGCATTTCCATGGATTGTATGCATCTTTGGTTCTTTCTTGGAGCTTTCTTTGATCTTTTTTATTTTCTTTTTATTTTTTATCACGACATTGCTAATCTCTGTTTAACATTGGATGAACACTCTTACTTCTGCTTAGTTGGTCCGTGCATTTCGCAATGCCTTCTATTTTTTCTTGGACCTCGGGTTCCATGAACCAGAGACTAGCTCCGTTCAATTCAAGCTGCCCACCTTTATTCATCTATACCAGCTGTTTGGAGTAGATTTGTA